AAGGCAACTCGCTGTACATTGGCTCTGTTGGGAGGGAGTGGGGGGGCTGTGAAGGACGCGCAGGCCTAGCTGGCTTCTCCCACGCGTGGGCTCTCCGTCCTTTCCACTGGACAACCCACACTGGTCATACAGATGCGCTCTGCTTTCCCTTCTGCACTGTGGTCTGTGCTGTGGTCCCGGGCATCGCACCAGCAGGGCGTGAATCACTGTCACCAGGAAGCTCTCTGTCCTCTCCGATAGCCATGAGTTTGGTGACAGAGCACGGGAGGCCCAGCTTGTGTAAATGGTTTGCGTGGTATTAATATCTTGTGCTGATGTGAACTCGGGAGTCTTTTAGACCTTGTGCTAGCAGACATCCTACTGTAACACAAACAACAACAACAAAAAAAAAAAAACCTGTGACTGTTCTTTCACAACTGATGGTTGGATCTTTGCCCTTCACGCAAGATGGTAACTTTTCCATTGGTGTGGGGCTCCGTGTTCCTCATCCCAAACAGGGCCACCAAGTTCAACCAGGTCCCTGCCGGCTCCAAACAAAGCAGGATTCTCCTGTCTCTTTGCCCTACGAGTAGGAGCAGCCTGTGCCTTCTCTGCCGTCTGACCCTTGGTGGTGGAGTGTCTCTGTTTTTCTGCATCACTGTTGCTTTTCTGAAATGGCGTGAGGATGGAGTGGAGAGTGGATGCTTTACCGCTTGTTCAGTCTTCTGAAAGGACCTTGGGTCTGACCGGGCACTTGTCACCTACCCCCAGCCGCCTAAGGTTTCAAGAAGAGGACACCGTCTCTAACCTTGGTAAACCGACTTTTCCACGTGGGGACCTTTTTTCTATTCAGGCACTCCAGCTGGTCCCATAGAGTCTGGTGGGCAGGGACCAGACTTCACTACAGCCACCTCTGGTTTCGTGTGATGGCGTGTGATCTCCTCCAGTGGTTAGCTCTCAGGTAGATAATCCCCCAGCAAGATCCCACTCCCTTCTCTCTCACTGAGAGGCCGGGAGTTTAAAGAGAGGCCCACATATCTTCTCTGGGGCATGCTCTGGTCACAAGAGAGGATTGTAGGGTCTAGAGACTTGCAAAAGAAGTAAGTTTATCTGAGGGAATAGTGGGAAAAAATGAAAGTAGAAATTATGTATTTCACACATGTTCTCATTTTCAGTTTTTAACAAATGATGGGTTCCTTTTTTTTAATGCTTCTCTTTTACAGGAAAAACACACAAAACCCTACCAAGTTAAAAATTAGACATTAATCACCTTACTGACCAGTTTACAAAACAGGAAAAGTCTAGAGGTATTTGAAATGCCATCTTTAATTACCTGAGAAATAGATTGTGTGTCTGTGTTTTGTTTTCTTTTTGTTTTTGTTTTCCTCTTCTCAGAACTGGGTGAGTTTGTTTACAAGGCTTTAACAAAGGCTGAAGAAATGGGTGGTCAGTAGGAAGCTGGTGCCCAGCCCTCAGAGGGACAGGAGGCAGGAAGCTGGCTCTCTTCATCTCCTCTGATGAAGTCTGTCCTGGGACCCTGAACTCAGTGTACCGCAGACTAGAAAAGAACTCTGAACATATTCTAAATGAAAATGTTAAAGCTAGCTATACAGGCAGGCTGTTGGCTGGGTGACCCATTGAAATCCGTAAATATAGCAGGGCTAATTTGAAATCGCATAACTATTTGTTGGATGACAAAGTATCTGTTTAAGGAGATTTGAAAAGGCGGTCGCCAGAACTGCACGCCTCAAGAGCACTGTTGGTTGGGGGTCGCTGGCCCGCTGGGGCCGCCATGAACTCAGACCTCTTCTCGCAGATTCGAGAGAGAAGAAACAAAACCGTTGGGGAGAGGCTGGCTTGAGAGTTAACTAACCCGAGTGCCTAAGATAATGCGGGGCAACTTTTTTAAAAGTAGGGGGGAGAAAAATTGTCGTCCCAACCATTTGAAACCTCCAGAGGTTGTGTGTGAGCAGTTGATATTTTCCCTAACATAATTACACTTCTTCCCACACACTGCCTTAATATCCAGGTGCTTCCCTGTAGAATTATTTGCCTGTAGCTCCCTGGTAAAGAAATTTACTTTATGTCCATTCGTTATTAGGGAGAAGTCACATGCATGCACGCATGCACGCGAAGCCCAAGCGTCAGTCATTCCGTTGAGCAAGGGTGAAGCTGTCTGTCGTGTCCTTTGAAGGCTGCACCTTCAAAGCAGATGGCAGACTAAACTAGCTTTGTTAATTCTCTCCCCCCCCTGCCCTCCCCCCAACTCCGGGAAACACGGCTACATTGTCACGAAACCAATCCTGTGTCTTTACATTAACTCCATAACCTTGAACCCTGGCTCGCTTCAGACACGCCCCTCACACCTGCCAGTCAGGACACCAGTTTGCACAGAGGGTGTTGTCAGTTACTGAGCTGCTGGGTTCTGCCGACGGCTCTTATCGGGGCGTATTCTCGTCGATTGCCCAGTGGTGAACAGTGGCTTCTTTGGGCGTTGTGTCACCTGTAAAGTGTCAAAGCCTCTAGTGGTCTCTACAGGAGAGACGAGAGCCTCATCTCCGTAGGTCCAGCTCTGGTATTCAGGAAGCTGGATTTCAGAAACTTGGGGGCCTTCTCTTGGGGCCTTGCTGATGTGTCCTTCGGTCGCCCGCGCTCCCCCCCCCCCCTCCGGTCTTGGTCTGGCAGTTTACATACCCAGCACTCTTCCTTTCATAGGGAAATTGGCTAGCCCAGTTTGGTTACTCCCTGTGTGCAGGTCGCACCTATAAAACAGGTAATAAGACCTGGTTAGGCCACACACTTGTAGAGCGCTGGGCCGACCTGAGCACTGGCCAACTTTGCCCGTTACCGTTGGTGACCGGAGCATTCGTGCCCAGCCCTCCATTATCCTATCCAGAGGGAATCCTCCCAGATCTAACCAGCTGTCTTCTTTAAAAGGTCATCCATCACCTCTCTGGAGCTGGCCTGTTGACTTATGTTTCTAGCCTGCCCAGTCAGCAAAAATGCAAGCATTGCCCCCGGGGGAGGTCAGCCAGGGAGCCTCTCGCCCGTGGTGAAGGGTGGGTGGGCAGGCGGGCGGGTGTGGTTCTGTCTGGATGTGTGCTCCCTGGCTTGCTTCTCTCTGTGGCAGTCTCTCACACCCGCTGGCTAACCGTCTCCTCACAGCCTGCCCCACCCCGCTTTTGAAGCTAGCTCTCCTAACAACTCTTTACCCTTGGCTCCCGCTCAGTCCGGTGGAAGGCTTTTTTTCCTCTGCCTCGTCACTGCCACCCAAGGCCAGCATGCTGTCGCCCGATCTCGTGGGAGCTGACCTGATGGTAAGCCCCACGTTGAGCTAGGCGATTTGGCGGACAAGTCAACGTGGACGCTCGACTCAGCAACTCACAAATGCATGGAATGTTTTGATCTTGACACAAACTCTTTTCTAACTTTCTATTGTGGTGGTAACATTTTTTCCTGTGATTTCCTTTTTAAAGAGAATAGTGCAGTGTCTTGAAACAATTGCAATTCTGGTATGTCACTATTTCTATTTAACAAGTTTCATTCTTTCCTAATCACTGTATTCAGCTGTGCACTGGTGTCAATAAAATTGACATTTGTGAAGTGATTTCTGGCCTTTTTCTCCTGGATTTATGGGATCTGGCGGTGCGTGGGGTGATGGGGTCTCTGTCTAACACCAATGCTTCATTTCAACGAGGTTTACTCAAATGCGAGGATGTCTTTTAAAATTCATCCTGTAAAGCCCTCACCTTTTCTAAACATACCTTCCAAGGATCACTGACTGGCTAACTGTCACTACTTTTTGTTATTTTCTGGATGTGATGGCTCCTCACCCCTCTGTGGGTGAAGCCATTGCCAGGGGGCGTCCTGGAAGCAGGGGGCATGTGGTGGTTTCCTCAGGATTTACCTGCTGGGATCAAAATCACTGTTGGCCCTGCCTTACCCCCGCTCTAGGCTGCTGTATCTTTTCCTTCCAAAGTATGTATGAACCACTAAAGAGGGGGAACGTAGGTGCCAGGGCATGAGGATATATCCGGAAAACTGTGTCACCCGTCCCGTGGAGATCCTTAACCAAGCAGTGGGTGCCAAGGAGCAATGGATCGGAACAGAAAGTGGGGAGGCAGCTGCCTTGGTTTCCTTGTCATCGGAACTGTTCTCCTGATGCTCAGTCTGCATCAGCACTACAAGCATCTTAGCTCTAAACACACAGCTTAGAAGCGTTCGGAAGCACCTCACGTTGGGTTGAGGCACAGATAGTTACAAAATCCTCTCGGCAGAGTGTCCCGTGTAGAACATCTCCTGCGGTCGACTCTAGGAGGTAACCTACATTTTGCTGTTGTTTAATCCGATAGCCTTTCTAGAGGACTAACTTACGACCTGTCACTTCCGATTCACAAAGGGGAACTGTGCTAACGGGATCTCCAGCTTGCGTCTTTAAATGACCACCGTTGCGTGTAATGCTAGTGTTTCTGTCCCAAACAGTAGCAGAGATGGAGTGACATCACCAGGTACATCGAGCTTGCTTCTGTTCTCTGTAGAGTGGGGAATTAGCTGCTTGGCCTCTGTTAGCTGTGACCCATTGTCACAAGATGTGGTCCTGTCCTGAGTGCACCAGCTGTTTAGATGTCTATTAGTTTAGTTGCAGTCACTCCTTCTGTCTCATTGTGACGTAGACACCATGACTTCCAGGAGTAGTTTTTAGAAACAGAGGCGGTAGTTACGAGATTAAAAATAGGATTGCTCTATGCTGTTAAACTCCCTTAATTGTGACCTATGCAGAGGTCTCTGTCTTACCTTTAATTACGTAACTGGGGCTGCATTGGGCGAGGTGGACTCTGGGTGCCCCTCCTCAAGGCAGCCACAGCGTAGAGGGCGGGGAGACGTAGCAATGCATTTTTGCCACGTAGCAGCCATGTTCTAAAGCTTTTGTAAAAGTGACAGTTGGAAAGAGCCCTCCGATCCCAGAAGGAATTACTTTTTTCTCTTTTCTTTTTCTTTTAAAACTTCTCATCCCCAAACAGGCTCCCTGACTGGTAGCCCTCACCTTTCAGAGCTGTCCATGAACTCGCAGGGAGGAGTTGCCCCAACCAACGTGACCTTGTCTCCCAACCTGAGTCCCGACACCAAGCAGGCCTCTCCCTTGGTCAGCCCGCTCCTGAATGACCAGGCGTGCCCCAGGACTGACGACGAAGAGGAGGGCCGGCGAAAGGTGCGGTGGATTCTCGGGGGCGGAGGGGCGGGGGGGGTTAAAATAGCCGCAACGTAAAACACGCCAGCTTTAAACGCACCAGCTGCCACAGTAGATAGCGAGTACGACCTTCTCAGAGAACCAGGGTCACAGCCTTTTCATATTCTCCAACGAAACCTCTGTCCTGCTGGCTAATAATTCCCCATCCTTGGCAGCCCCCCCCCCCAGGCTGCTCACTGTATTTATATCCGTTTCTGACCGGCTTCGTTCGCCTGGTGTCGCGTCCTTGGGGTTCACTCCCGGTATCCGTGAGGTGGCGTGGGTCAGGATGCCTCCTCCCCTCCCGTGTGTCCGCACCGGCTGCGTGTGCGGACTACACTCTCTTGGCCCGCTCCATCTCATGGTGGCCCACTTTGGGTTGCTACGGCCAGTCTGACTCCCAGGTTCCGGGGCCGAGACACAGTGCTGCCACCATCTCCCTGTGGTCCGGCCACGGACACTGCTGACACCATCTTGTAGCGAACATCTCAAGAAACCAGCTCTGCCAGCCCACGTCACAGGTCTCAAGATGCGGATTTCTCCTGGCGGAGTTTCCGAGAAGATCGTGTGACTCTTGCCTAATTAGAATCCTCTAGCTGATGGTGGCACTTCCATGTCAAAGGCCATTCTTTTAGCCTGTTCCTCCTGATGCTTGTGCCCACGTGTACACACAACAGAGAAATAAACTTATTTAGATTTGAAGCTAACAAAGGGCTTACCCGTTAGTTACCTATCAGTGAATTCTCTCTGTCTGTCTCCCTTCCTCTCCTCCCTCTCTCTCTCTCTGTCTCTCTCTCTCTGTCTCTGTCTCTCTCTCTCTCTCTCTCTCACACACACACACACACACACACACACACACATGAAGATAAGCTTATTTAAATTTGACGCTAGCTTACAAAGGGCTTACCCGTTAGTTATCAGTGAGTCACCGTCTCTTTGATCGGGGCATTCTCAGAGGCTTCCACTCAAACATGACGGCTGCGTCTTGTTCTTTTCTGGGTTTTGCAGAGATTCCCAACCGACAAGGCCTACTTCATCGCTAAGGAAGTCTCCACCACTGAGCGAACGTACCTGAAGGACCTTGAGGTCATCGCTTCGGTGTGTGCTCTTTTCCTCTGCCTTGCGTGATTCAGTTAGACGAGTGCCCGGCTGCTGCTGGGAGGGGCTGGGGTTGCTCACGTGTTAGGCTCCCTGACCGGCTGCGAGGATTGTAGGTCCTGATAGTGGGTTATGGCAATTAATGTCGATTGCCATATTTAATTTGGATTTTAAGTGCAAAGGGAAGACGTTCCTGCAGCAGAGGAAGTGAAACTAAGTGGTCTGCTGTCTGTGGACACTGACCCAGAGCATTCTGTGTCTTCTCTGTCGTCAAATGTAACTGGCCGTGTCTGCTCGAGGTAGACTCCTGGTCGTCTTTATAGTAAGCTGTACCACGGTGGGGAAAGTGCCACTGACTGCCTTTGACTGCTGTCGCCTGGCCTGTCCAGTCTTAGACGCAAAGCTGGGGACTCGGACCCCACGATTTTGAGAAAGAATACAGCCAGTAAAGGCGGATACTCACACCGTTGGGATGGGGTCTGCATTTGGTGGCTTTGCAGATCCTGGGACCCAGCTGCCACTGGTGTCAGTGACGTGTGTGGTCGTGGACAGGCAGTTGCTGTGTCACCTCCATGGTCAACGTTTTTTTTTTTTTGTTTGTTTGTTTTTGTTTGTTTTTTTGTTTTTTGTTTTTTCGAGACAGGGTTTCTCTGTGGCTTTGGAGGCTGTCCTGGAACTCGCTCTGTAGACCAGGCTGGCCTCGAACTCACAGAGATCCGCCTGCCTCTGCCTCCCGAGTGCTGGGATTAAAGGCGTGCGCCACCAACGCCCGGCTGGTCAACGTTTTTTATGGAGGAATAGTCGGACAGCTCCTGGAAACATAGGGTGGCCTGTGGTCCCAAATTCAGGATTCCCTAGTGAGCCGGCCTGAGTGAGTGAGGACTTGGTTCAGGGCGTGGCCCATTGAGGAGATGATTCCTGGCTTAAACAAGCCGTGGGGGGGAAGCATTTGAGAGACAGGCTCTTTTCCCCTGGGAGAGGGCAGGGGGAGCAGGAAGGTCTGCCTCTTGTGTGTAATGGGCCTGAGATGCTCAGAAGGCCCCGGGAAGGTGCGTGGCCTCCTGCTACCCACAGGGTCCATCCATCTGCGTGTGTCTGAATTGTCCCCTCTTCATTTGCAGTGGTTTCAGAGCACGGTCAGCAAAGATGACTCCATGCCCGAAGCCTTGAAGAGTCTCATATTCCCGAATTTCGAACCTTTGCACAAGTTCCATACCAATTTTCTCAAGGAAATTGAGCAGCGACTTGCCCTGTGGTGAGTACAGTCCGGTCTCAAATCCGTGCTTCCTCTGCACGCTCTGCGTCAATGTATTATTTTACTTTGTCCCATGTACACGGCAGAGATGGGAGTCAGACAGGCCTGAGGCAAGCCATCCTTAAAATATTTCCCAGTGGGATAAAACAACAACCAGGAGGTGGTGTAGTGCATGCCTTCAATCCCAGCAGTCAGGAGGCAGAGGCAGGCTGATCTCTGTGAGTTCGAGGCCAGCCTGGTCTACAGAGTGAGTTCCAGGACAGCCAGGGCTGTCTCAAAAAAAAAAAAAAAACCAAAACAACAACAAAAAATTCCAATGAAATGCTACGTGTTTAGGTTTTACCTTTGCCTTTGATTGAGGTCTCTCCAAAATGCATTTTCTTATGCTAATTGCATAGTTATTTTAAAGTAAAGGTGCTTGCTTTTAGGAGACGAACTGTGGGATGGTACAGGGACATGAAGGATTTGTGAGGTGACATTTCACTGCTGCTTGCTTTATAGTTATTGTGAAGCTACATGTATATTGTACGTATAGATATAAAATGCTGTGTTGCATATAACAAGAGTTTAAAGGGTACTTTGAAAACACAGTCTGTGGAACACATGGACGTACATACACACAGTTCACCTCATCATAAGGATGTAATTATCTTTGTTTCATCATTACTGTGTACGTACATGCTGTCTGTGGATAAACATGCCACCGTGTGCACGGGAAGTCCAGAGACACTGCTGTGGAGTTGCTCCCCTTTTTTCCACCTCCATGTGGGTTCTGGAGATGGAACTCGGGGCACCCGACGCGGGGAAAGCACCTTTGTCAGCCGAGCCAACTTAACAGGGCAGGATGTAACTTCTCAGATACGTGTTTGTGTGTGTGCTCAGGCACATGCCTGCATAAGTGTGTGTGCATGTCCCGTGTGTGTGTGCACTCACCTGTGAGCAGATGGGGCCGGAAGATGGCAGCAGACGCCTTGGAGCTGGGAGTTACAGGCAAATATGAAACAACCTGACGTTGCATGGGTGCTGGGACCTGCACCCCGGGCCTCATGGCTGAACAGCAAGCACTCCTAACCGCTGACTGATCTCTCCAGCCCCTGAAGGATGTGTTTTAGTATCCTGACATGAGCAAAGGCATCCATCACAGAACTAAAACATTAGGGAGACCTGGATAGCCACCAACGGAAAATGATTAAAAATAATCATTTTAGGACCTCCTGAGGGTCCTGAAGGGAGAGGGGACAGTTAGTGACCCCCTGAGGGTCCTGAAGGGGGAGGGGACAGTTAGTGACCCCCTGAGGGTCCTGAAGGAGGAGGGGGCAGTTAGTGACCCCCTGAGGGTCCCTGAGACTCTTACCTCTGAGGGTCCTACACTGAGGCCTCCGAATATCACTCAATAGAAAAGCAGAAAATCAGAGCCCCTGCTTCGTGAGGCAGGGCCAGCATGAGCTCCCTGACCTGAGTGGTGCCTTGGCTCTATAGCATCTTGTACCTGGGTGGTATAAAGCGGTCTTCCCTGAGAGGGAGGAGTCAGGCTTCACCAAGAGGCCCGGTGAGGCCCGTGGGCGTGCAGATTGCAGTCAGAGCCAACACTTGCAGTACAGAGCCGGCCTTGCTGAGAATGAGGGAAATGGACTCCGCTTCAGTAGAAGCCGGGGGTGAAAGACATTCCCGAACTTCTGTGTTTTTCACCGTTGCCTCCTGTGAAGGCATCTGGGAATGGGGGTGTCCCAGGCCCTTAATCCCAGCACTCATCGGACAGAGGCAGGAGGATTGCTGAGGGTCTGAAGCCAAAATACTCAACCCGAGGCTCGCATTGGAAGCTAAGTAGTAAGGTTGTATGTATCCCACCGAGAAAGAAAGGACTGGGCGAACTCCACGTGACGCACTTTGTGGTGCCCACAGGCTGGTCCTGTGAGAGAGGTGATCGTTGTACTTTCTGTACCAGAGGGCAGAGTTGACACACGCGCACCCGTTTCCAGTAAAGCCCAGCGGGACTCCTCAGTGGCTCCGTGCTGCCACGCTGGCTCTCCAGCAGAGGGCGCCAATCCAGGTTTTCGGAAAGTAGTCATCCGTGGTGCAAAGTCCATCAGTAGCCCTACCTCGAGGCCATGGGGGGATTTGAAAAGATGGGAGATCGCTGGGCTCCTGTCAGCCCTGTTTAGTGTGAACTTTGGGCGGCCGTTGGGGGGGGGTGTTGAGATTTGTGTTTATCGAGTACTTTTTTGGGTTAACTGTTGATGAATGTATTTGGGGAACAGTTGACATCCCTACCCGGTGCCTCTGGCAAATGCTGAATCTGGGATGCTTTGGTTTGCATTTCAGAGTGGATTGGATTATATTTCTTTATCTACACATGAGTGAAGGAATGATTGATGGAAGGGATGACTGGATGCTATGGATTTGTTTGTTAAAGGGTTGATCCCCAAAGTAACTCTTGGAAAGGCTCTGCAGAGCTGGGGGGAGGGGCTCTTAGGTCATTGGGCATGTGCCCCCAGGGGAGACTGGAGGTAGGGGCTGTCCTGGCAGCTTCCTGGCTTGAGGTGTTAGAACAGGTATGCACACCGTTGCTATCTCCTTCCTCCCTACCCAAGGCCCAAAGCCATGAGGCTTTGTCTCAGGTATTGTGTGGTAGAATCTAGAAGCTGACCAATGTAATCAGCGACTGTGTGTGTGTGTGTGTGTGTGTGTGAGGCCCTGCACACCCAGCCAAGGGTGTGCAAAGGAGGATGTGATGTCCCGGGGAGGCACAGAGTTTTGCTGCCAGCTTGGCTTTGGAGGACATGTAAGACAGTAATGCCTGCGTAAAACAATCGGCCATGGGCTCAGTAGTCAATGAGAAGAATGGGTTGCAGTCCGTTTCTTCTTAAGGAAGAAACTTGCAGTTATGGGCGGAAGGAGAGAGATGTTTAGGTAGAGGTTTATACCTTTGCTTACTGTGACATGGGAAACACAGGGTGGCTCATGTCAAGTAAGATAGCTAAGAAACAAATTTGGGGACCAGGAAAAGGACTCTGTTGTAAGAAACACTTTACTAGCACAGGAGAAGAGGCCCTGGGTTCGATCCCTGGTACTGCAGAAGCCCTTAGACGTTTAGCTGCCCGTGGCAGAGTAGAGTCCTTGCTCACCTGTAAACTGTGACTCGGACTGTGTTCCTCACGGGACTGTTTCACACATGAGGGCATCTAGTGTTTATAAAGAGCTCCATAGACTGTGCCCCACACAGAAAGGAAGACTGGCAATGCTAGTCTGTGTATGTATGTGTGATGTGTAGGTGTGGGTGGGTTCCTGTCGTGTGTGTGTGTGTGTGTGTGTGTGTGTGTGTGTGTGTGTGGAGGTCAAAGGATAACGTTTGGGAATTGTTTCTAGCCCTGCGATTGGTTTCGATGGTGTGTCTCGTTTCTGTTGTGTTGGGCACTCCGGACTAACTGGCCCACATGCTTCTGCGTGACACTGCTGCCTCCACCATCTACCTGGAGTAAGTAAGCAGCCTACCTCTGGCATTTTTTTTAAACATGAGTCCAGGAATTGAACTTGAGTCTTCAGGCTTGGCAGCTACTGATTTCACCCCTACTGAGCCATCTCCTGAGCCTAAACTAAGTTTTGTAAAAAGTTAGCTGAATTTGGGATGCTTTTAGATTTGCTGCCATGAGAGATTCTCAGCACAGACCTTGGTCTTTCTTGTAGACGGAGTTTCTTTTCAACCTGATCCCATAGCTGATTAGCCCCAAATAAACACACAGAGACTTATAATAATTTATAAACTGTTGGCAAATGGCTAGGGCTTCTTACCGACTAGCTGTCTTAATTATTAACCCACTTGTATTAATTTGTGTATTGCAACAAGGCTGTGGTTTACCCATAATCCAGCTGTGTTATTCCTTCCACGGTGTGACCTCTCCTCTCTGGAGGCTTCTCTCTCCAGAATCCTCCTTGTCTGGCAGCCCCTCCTATCCTTCCTGCCTGGCTGCTGGCCAATTGGTGTTTTATTCATCAACCAATAAGAAAACATATACACAGAAGGACCCCCCCCCCGTCACTTTGCCCCTTCGTTGAGTATTTTTTGTGTCCACGTGGGTCAGAAGGAAAAAAGCAACGGTGTCGTGTTGCTGGTGTCAAACTCTAGATTTTGTTCCTTGCTGTTTTCTAGGTTTGGGATGTTTGGTTTGGTATTGGTTTCTCCTAGAACTCGATGCGTACATACATCAGGACGTCGTGGCCTAGAACTCAGGGAGACTTCCCCTGCCTCGTCCTCCTGTGTGCTGGGATTAAAGCATTGACATTGCTACTTTCAGTTACTGCTGTTAAAAAGAAAGAAATCTAGAGTTTGTCCTGCATCAGAGGTTCCTCAGTATGTGGCGGTCACTACCCTAGATTGGTGCATGCGTGGTAATCACCATGATTTTGCCCTTGGCAGGCCTCTGGGAGACTGCAGACCATAGTGTGCTTTGTCAGCGGTGGGAAAACCCAGGGCGGGTCTCGTATCAGGAAACGTTCTGGAACGTTTAGGCCGCCCCCCAGTTTGACAACACTCTCATCCCTCTCCAAAGGTCACTCGCGGCCGTGCAAACGCACCTGAGCAGAAGAGGCAGGCCCAAAGCCAACTTACACCTTCAGGGTGGCCAGAGCCAACTTACACCTTCCTCAAAATGGCAGCCCCTTTGTTGAGTTATGAAAAGTAGCTGACATGCTTTTATTTTTTTCCCCGTTTGAAAGTAGGGGACTGTTTACTCAGCTATGTAAACACACTCAGAGAAAGCCACTTAGACTCAGCCTGGGGATGGGTGGACATTCCATCCGTCTTTGACATTTCATGTTTGAGGTGTGTAGAGAGAAGCCTTCCCGCCAGCCTGGTCCCAGAGCCGTGTCAGTCCCAAATGAACACACAGGACGCTGTATTAATTATGAAGCTGTTGGCCTTGCTTGTTTCTTACTGGCTAGCTCTGCATGCTTGGAAGCTGGCACCTTTACTCTGGGCCGCATCTCGCCAGCCTCGGCAGCAT